GAACAGACTCAAGAATTATACTGATCTAAGTCCAAGAACAAACATTCCTCCTTCACAGGCCACAGCCTCTCCTGTGTCATGTGAGGAAGAGAAGCAGGGGAGGGCAGTGCTTTGCCAAGACTAGAATGTACCCAAATCTGTGAATACTGTCAGGAGCTGGGAAGAGGAAGAAAGAGCCCAAGTGGTCAGCCCTGGAAAGGGCAGTTCCTGCTGAGAACTGGCTGGGGAACATTCCCATTTTCCTAACCAGCAACAGCTGTCAAAAGGGGAAAGAAGAGTGATTGTGGACCCTGCCAGCAGCACCTCTCATCTGCAGCTGGGACGGGAGAGCAGACAGCTCCCAGCACAGCCCTCTGGCCCCGCAGCAAGGAAAACGTGTGTCATTTTCCAGAGGGCTGAGCCAGCACTAACCAGGTGGGAAATTTTGAACATGTGCTTGATCAGGGTTCCCTTGTCTCAGCTGAGATCTTTCCCCAGCCCGACCCTTGGCTGCTGATTCAGTCCAGGGTTGCTCCCCCCCTTGCTCTGCTCTCTCTGCAGCAGAACAAGGTGGGCAAAGGGAGAGGGGAGCTGTAGTTTGGTGTGTCCTCCGTTCCCAGGCCGTCATGAAAAGGCAAATGGGTTTTGTTCTGCTGGGGTTTGCTGCTGACCCACTCCTTCCTTCCCCCAGCCTGATGTCATGACCACAAACCCATTCTCTCTGACTTCTCTTCAAGCAGAGCCCACCTTTACCACAGCCAGGAAATTCCTCTTCTCCCTCCCTCCTCTCTCTCACCCTTTCACCACCATGAGAAACCCTCTTCCCTCTCTGAGGCTTGTCATATGTGGGTTGCCTTAGCCAGTGTTTGAGCAAATTACCCCCTGTGCTGCCTGAGGCTGGGCTGTGCACAGCAGAAAATTGAGTAGGAGGTTTCTGGGGCGATCACTGTGCACTGAGACCTCAAATGCTTCTCTGAAATCAGGCCCTGCTGCTGCTCCAGAGCATCCTTCCAACAGAGAGGCAGAAGCTATGACCGCCTCTCATCTGTCCAGCCTGGCCATCTCTGATCCAGGCTGCCATCCCAGTTCCCCCAAGCACCAGGAAAATCCAGTGCCTGACTCTGAAACAGCAGTAGCTGCCAAGAACCTTCCAGCTGCCTCTGAGTTCCAGGATCCCTCCCCATCTCAGCCCTGCAGTCTCTCAGGGGGAACTTGTCAGCAAAACCAGCCCTATTTAACCAAAGCAGAGGCAGCCTGGCTCTACACGGCCTCCCTCTGCCTTTCCCTGTTCCCTTGGCATCATTAATTCTTGGGGAAAAGCCTCTCGGGGCAGCGCCGACTCCTGCACGTCCCCCCTACGTGCAGCTCAGCCGCAGCAGCATGCTGGGGTTCATGTAGCTCCGGGTCCTGCTCCAGCTATTCCCGCCCACTTTCCATGGATCCCCTGCAGGATTCACAGCCCAGCACCCAGGGGTGCTGCCTGTCCCCAAGACCAGTGCTCTCAGCATGGGATGAGCAGCAAAACTGCAGCTGGAAAAGCTGGCAGTGGACATGGAGCAGAGCCCTGTCCCCGGGCTGAGGACCAAGAATGCCTCTTTCCCATCAGACACGCCAAGGCTTTGAGCTCTGCCAAACCCCAGTGTTTGTTCCTGCGTTTGGCAAGCGAGGGATGGCAACAAAAGCATGTGCGAGGCAGAAGGAGTTCAGTGAAGGAGGGAAGTGGGTTTCTCTTGGGTCTCGGTGACCTTTTCTGGTTTGGAAAGAACAGAGATGTGCAGAGATGCTCACAATGCACAGCAAGGCGGTTTCCACTGCCCCAGCAGCAGAACAAACCCCGTGGCCTCCTTCAGTCATAGGAAACTGGAGCCCAGAGCCACAGCCCAGCCTTTGGCTGCTGGGATGGAACCACTGGAAATCCAGCTCCAGGGAGTCGGTGCCTTTGCCTGTTTGCAAGGAAAATTTATGTGCAGCCATGGAGCCTTTCTATGGGCACCTTGTCTTCCAGCCCTGTTCTCTGGGATACAGCTCCTGCTGCGTGATGGGAACAGTTTTTCTTCATCTGGCAGTGGCTGAGCCAAGTTCTCTTGGAGCCCATGGACTGGGAGTTATATCAGCAATGCCCTTGGCCACGAGGATCCCATTGACTCTCCTCACCTCCCTCCTTAGGGAAACAGGCACAGAGAAGGAGCTGTTGGAGCAGAGCCAAGAGAAGGGCTGAGACTGAATAGTCCAATAAATCCAGCAATTTCTCCATGTGCTTCCAGCCCTTCTTGCTTAACCTCAGAGAGGAAAAGTGATGCTGGCAGAAGGAAAGAAAAGGAGTGGGGCTCTGTGCAGGTAGGTCAGGAATGCACCTAAATCCTCCCAGAGCTGAGAGCCAGGGGCAGGTTTATAGCAAAGATAGAAGAGCTGATTTGGAAAGCTGATTTGGCCAAAGGGATAATGTTTCTGTTGGGAACCAGAGAGCTATTGATTACTCAAGTAACCTCAGCTATTAAACAAACAGCTACCTCAGCAGAGAGAAATTTCAGCCTGGGTTTAGGGAGAGGATCAAGGGGACTCCAGGGCGGCCCAAGAGGAAGTTGGAATGTGTGTTCCCACTCTCCTTGACTCACTGGTGCCCCACCTGCTCCCACTGGTACCAGATAAGGAGTGAAAACAAACACAAGGTAGGCGCCTGTGAGTGTCCCTGCCACGGGAAAGGGAAAACATTCACTGCAGCGGAGTCATGGCCAAGATGGACTATGGAATAGGAAGGATTAAAATGTCTCACAGCACCTGGCTCAGCTCCCAGGGCCTTCTCTGGACACTGGCACATGGGCAGCTCCTCCCAGCGCTCCAGGTCTCTGCAGAGGCTCAAAGCTCCAAAGCTCTTTTCCCAGGAGGGAGCACAAGTTCCCATTTCTTGTATGTCATTATTATTGTGTGTCTGGCAGTGACAGCCTGTGATAGGGACCGAATGCACAGGTAACAGCACGGCTGTGCAACGGGGTCACATGAAGGCACTGGGAGCATGTCAGAGCCTCAGCTGCTGCAGCTGATGTGCAGATGCCAGACTATGTAATATTCACATGATCATCCCTTTTGCAGTGTAGGCAAGTGTGGGGAAAAGCAAGGAGAGCCAGCTGAGCCGCGGAGAAAGTCAAGGACTGGGAGGGTTGACTTGGACTTCCTGCTTGTGGGAGGTTCTGGTGCCATTCCCCCATTAAATTTTGAATAACCTTGAAAAAAAAATCAAGTTGAAACACGACTTTGAGAGCAGTCCCGCTGCCGGTCGTGCAGAACCGCAACCTCGGGGACTGAAACTGCAGCCCAGCAGCGCTGACTCCTCCCTGCACCCTCCCCAACCTGGCCCTGGGAGCCTGGCTCCAGGTCCTGGGAGCCTGGTTCCAGCGAGGTCCCGCTCGGAATGCCGGGGCCCGTCCCGGGCTGGCTCCCTCCCAGCACAGCTGCCCATGTGGTGCTGAGGGCTGGCACAGAGCTGCTGACGGGTCCTCTCCTCCCTGCCTGCCCATGCCAGAGGCACAGAACACAGCTGGCCACGCGGCCCTGGGGGTGACAGCACTGCCTGGCACCCTCCACGCGTGGGGCTCCGACCCCTTGCTCCCACAGAAGCCCCTCAGAGCAGCACAAGCTGCTGCTGTTTCCAGTTTCCGTGTCACAAGCAGCACTGTGGCCACCTGAGCCACTCCCAAGTGCTCCCTCGTAGACCCAGCACCTGTGCCTTCCTGGGCAAGGATCGTGCATCACACGGCAGTTGCTTCCCTAATTACAGCTCGTTACTGCAACTGTGCTCTCTCACATACTCTCCAGCACTCCTGGCTGCATTTCTCCATGGCCCCACCGCTGCCCCCAGCCCTTCAAATGACTCCAAAAATGTGTTATTTCAACAGACTTGTTGGCACATGAGCAGTGGCCTCTCCCTGTTCTTGGATTTCAAACAGGGTTTCTACTTTGTGCCTCTTCCATCTCCACCCCAGTTTCTGACACCCACAGGGGTTACCAACACTGGGCTTTTGACCCTAAATGTACTTTCCTCAGTCAGATACACACCAAGGATCCTAACAGGCCAAAAAATCAGGTTAGCACAGATGAGTGGGTGCCAACAAACTCACTTTCTAGTTTGCTAGTGCTGCGTGTGGGCGTAGAGTCCCTACATCGCGTGGAATCGGAGCTGTGAACCCACCAGTTTTTCAAGCATTAAGGAACTCTTGGATTAGGAAGAAAGATGAAATCCCCCCCCCCGGGGAGGGGGGTAGGCACTGCTGAGCTGCTGCAGGGCACAGAGGTGACCGTCACCCTTGCTCCCTCCGCAAGCAGATCGGATCCCGTTATGCAACCGCTGTGCTAAAAGGCAACACGATGCCCAGAGAGGTCTCAAGGACTTCATTATTTTGCCTTCCAGGTCTGCAGATCCCCAGGATCCACATCCAGAGAGCTCCTGGCAGTGGTCATGCCCCTGGCTGCCTTCCCCAGAACTCTTGCTTGCTGCACAGGAAGGGTAAGTGCTGAGGCTGCTGGAGATGTGCAGCATCTCCATGTGCAGAGTTTAGGATTCCCACCCCAGCCGTGCTTCTGGGATCAGTCCCAGTGCTCCAGCTCTGCTTACAGCCTCCTCTAAGATAGATGTAGCTCAAGGGACAAGGTCTCCAAACTTCTGATTTATTTCATCAATGATTTGTGCTCTAATCCCTAGGGAGAACTCTGCTTCCCTTTCCTAGAGAGGGACCAGGGCTGCTCCCCAGTCCCTTCAGCCTGTTCTGGAGGCACAGGTACTCCTGGCTCTTCCCAGCACGGTGCCAGTGACACACATACTGGTATCCTGGGGGGGAAGCATTTGCACCAGTTTCTGCACCAGCCAGCCAGGCTCTGACCTGGTCTCGCTGTCCAAGAGCCAAGCCCTGCTGTGCCAGGCTGTTCGGGCATTGTATAACGTTCCTGCTTCCCAGGAGCCATCCCGCAGCACATCACCCAGCACTCGTGGAGCCCACCCTGACCCGCTGCCCCCGAGCATCTCTTACCTGTCCCCGGAGCCCACTCCCTGTGCAGCGCTCTCCCCTCCGCAGTCTCCCCGCTCTCCCTCTCCCACTCCCCTTCCCTCTGCACCACCTCCCTGCGTGATGTCAGCGCAGCCCGGCCCCCGCAGCCTCCCCAGCGCACCCATCGCATCCCACTGCTGCTTTTCCTGCCCAGCGGTTGCCACAGCGACAGGAGGGGAATCCCATCCTCCGGTCCTCCACCTCCCAGGGCCTCGCTTGGTATCACCCACTGCAGCTCTTCCTAAAGAGACCGCGGGAAGGGCAGGGGGACAGCAGCAGGGAATGGCCAGTGATGGCCTTGGCGACTCGATATGCCTGGAAGGAAAGGGGGAGCCGGGGCAGACACGGGAAGCAGGCTCAGAACACACAGGCTCTCACCTTATCCACAGTTCCACCCGTGCCCCCTGAGCTCTTCCCACCTTTCCACCCCCTCCCTTCACTGCTCCCAGCCAGTTCTTTGTTCCTCAGCCCCATGTGCTCGCTGGTTCGGGGCTGTGCCAAGTGCACCGTGGTGGCACAAACTCCCCCCGGACCAGGATCTGTGCTACTCGCCCGCGGCAGAAATCTCTGCAGTGACTCCTCCTCACTCCCAGGTCAAGGTCAGAGATCAGGTAACGATCAGAAACCTAAGACCAGCTCCAAGCCAGACCATCAGGAGTCGGTGGGCTCATTACCACTAACCACAAACCCACAGTGAAAGGTTTTCCTGCAATCCCTGTCGCCGAAGGTTTCGTTGGGAAGGGAGAAGGGCAGATACATTTTTAGGTCTGCAGCACATTTTTAATGGAAAGAGATGGCCCAGGGCTTTCATCCCTCCCCCCATCCAAGATGCTGTTTCTTTTCAGCAGAAATATTGCTGCATTAGAGAACAGGTCACTTCCTCTATCAGTGAGAATTCAGTGTCCTATTTGATGCTGGTCCTTGTGCTATAAATAGGAATTTTCCCCTTTTATAGCTGCTGAATAATTGTGTGTATGAAATATGAACACAGTTTTCAAAAGAGTGCCTGATAAGCAGCTTGCTGGAACGAAATGGTTGAGCAGAAGGAATTTACAGCACCTGCAGAGCATCGTGTGCTGTGGAAAACATTCAAGGTCAGCGTGAGAGAGACAGGTCACAGCACAGATCCAACTCCACAGCATCCCAATAATCCATTTCACACTCCACACTCAGGTAAGGATCACCTCAGAGGAGCCAAGATTTCTCCATCCCACGGACCAGAAAGCCAGGAGGAGCAGGCAGAACAGGTTTCTAAAACAGCAGGCAGGGAGCAGAGGACACAATCCCACAACGAGGAAGAGCATAGTTTAACATCCACCATCAAAAGGAACAAGGGAAGAAGTCAGGGAGGCACAAGCTTGGCTTCAAAAGAGGGAGAGTGGCAATGGGAGGTACAGAGAGGTAACAAAGACACCTGAGCACAGAGACTGAATGGCTGAAGAGCAGGAGAGCCCAGTTATGCTGGAAAACCAGTAATTTCTGGAGGAAATGGGCACATGCAGCCCAACCCTTTCTGGTGCTGGGCCACGGTGCCTGAACCAAAGCCCTGAACACAAGCACGGCTGCAAGAAGCGTGGATAAACAACTCTTCATCAGCACATCAAGAACAGCCTCCTCTGGGATATCTGAGGGTCAGGGTCCCTGTGGAGGCAGGAGAAAGGGAGAGCAGGAAATGCTCTCATTCCCTGCCATTAGACAGTTTTTTTCCCTGTGAATTTAGAGAGGCACAGGTGGAGGAAGGGGTGCAAGAAGGTCTGAAAGGCAGAAAGCAAATGAGCAGAAACAGAATACACAATATATGGCTTCCAGTTGCTGCAGGAAGAGACAAGAAAAAAACAACATCAGCTCCTCCACACACTGGATATGCAAAGGGAGGAGGAAAAAAAGGAATTACATCAGTTGAAGTACCTGCAAGGAGCTCTAGAGAGAAAAACAGGATGCACAGGGGCTCAGTGCTTTCAGAGTCACGCATGAACAGGAAAGAGAACCAGCAAAAGGCACCATTGCTATGGTGATCTAAAGCATTGGACACACTCAGCAAGGAGAAGAGATAAAAGGAATTACAAGCCACATTTTCAGCTGCACAGAACATCCTTGAGATAGGATCAGGCCCCAGGATCCACCCAGCACAATTGTTAGTTGATGCTGTCATCTGCCTCCTCATCCTCCTCGCTGTCTGCAGGTCAAAGAGGACACAGCACCAGATACAAATGTAAAGGGGTTATTTTATTATTGATTCAGAGGTTAGACAAGGCACCATTTGATCTAAAAAGAAATGCAAAAAACCCCCCCCAATTAAGTGTTATTTTTGCAGGCAATTAAGAAAGTCTCTTTTGCATTTCTTCAGCATTGTGTGAATTCCAGCTTGGTCATGATCACAGAAAAGCCACCCCATTCCCAGGTAAGGCAGGTTTGGACTAGAGCCACAGCCCCTCTTCAGCAGCAGAGAATCCTTGAGAAGTCTCTGTGCCAGGGTTTAGGAATGCAGCAGAACAAGAAAAACAAAAGTTCCAGGAAAAACCCATGGCACCACTTTTTCCTTTCCGTTTCAGACATGATGCATCATTTGTTCATTTTGGTCCTCGCTGACAGGAAGCGACTTCAGGAAAATCACAGCAAACTTTTCAGTGGCCTCAGGGTACCAAGAGCCCACGAGACAAGCCCTGAAAGTCCTGGAGAAGCCTGGAATGGCACCTAACCCTACCCTCCAACAGGTCAAGGACCTGCAGCTGATCACTCAGAGGTGTTTCACTGTCTTGTTTTGCCTCCCCAGACATGATTTCTAAGGAGAAGGCCACCTCTTCTTCACAATGATTCTGCCGAATAAGAAATCCAACCAAAACCCTACCAAATCAGCCCCCAAAACCCTTGTTTACCACCTCCTTCCCCCCCCCTCCCATCAATCATAACCCCCCACTCCCAGCTGCCCTCCCTTGCACCCAAGGGAGGGCTGCAATGGGTGATGTAGCAGAGTGTGCAGCGTTTGGTGGTGTCTCATCTGGTTCACGGAGTCACTCAGCTGGAATAAATGGGAACAAAGAGAAAAAAAAAAATATTTAGGGAAAAAAAAAATCAAACAAAATGAAGCATGGTTTATGGCAGAAAAAGGCTGGTGAGCTGGATGCAAAGTGAGCACAAGGGAGGAAAGGAATGAAGAGTGGAGGAACATCTTGTTCTTGCTGTAGAGTAAAACCCTGACCAAATCCAGGAATGCCAAGTGGCTGGGAACCCTTCCCTGCCATTATGGCAGCACAGAGGGGGCTGCAGCTCTCTGACTCTCTCAAGATAAAAGCTGCTTCTACTCAGAACTTCTTTACAGTCACTGAGACGCCAAGGCAGCTCTAACACACACTTTCCCCTTCCCTGGAGCACAGGAATCCTATCCCAAAGGCTATCCCGACCTCCCAGCGTGCTGGCATTGGGGCTGCCCTTCCACAGGAAAGCCAGAGACAAAGCAAGGGCCATCTGGGAATCCCAGGGGACCACAGGCTGCTGACAAAACCAGCCCTGTTGACTTCCAAACCCTTTCTCCCCAGTCATGTGCTTTCAAGAGAAACAAGTCAACTGCTTTCGGTTCCCCCGGTGTCATTTCCAGTTTGCTGGAAGGGAAGAGGTTGTTTCCCTGGAAAGGATGTATGAGGACAGAATGTGATTTTCAGACAAAGGAGAAATTATCAAGAAAAAGAGCAAGGGATTCCTGAGGATTAAGCATCTGCTCTGGACACAGAGCCCAAAGCAGCTCAGTGCACAGGAGGGAGATGGGCCATTTCCTCTGGAGAGGAGGGTACTCAGTAACTCTCAATCAGCAAATACACATGGAAGGCCAAAGGACAAAGTTTCACCTGTGCCAATCTATATTTACAGCGGGGTCCTCTAGGAAGGGCTGGAATCCCTCATGGACAAAGGTCAGTGCCAGCCTTGCAGTGTCACCCTGAGAAGACAAGGCACTACCCCCCCAGAGTGTCCTCACACAGAGAGCCCGTTGGATTTGCTCAAGAAACAGGAACATTTCCATGAGCTCGTAATGAAGGTCGTTAGCTCAAGGGCACATGGAGCCAGTGGTTAATAATGCTGTCTCTCCAGCCTTGAGAAATCATTTGTTTTGCAATAAGGCTTTATTATATTTAGACTTTGGGATCAGGAGAAGCTCAACACATCTTCCAAGGCAAGAGTGAAGAGATAAAACCCAAGTCCTTTTCTTATCCTCACGAGATCCCAACCTGCCACAAAGTGACTGTGAGACTCTAAACACGGACTCCATGTTTTTAAAAAGAGCAAGAAGCACTAATTTGCTATATTAAGGCCCACAAATGACAAGAGGTTGAAACCCCCACACACTTTCTGTCCCCTAAGTCCCATCAGCACAGGAAGACAGGCTGTGCTCTCAGGTGACCTGCCATCCCACCAGGAATAAAACACATACAAGGAGAACACGTTGTCACCCAGCCCCGAGCAGCAGCAAAACTGTCCCTCCCACGGCTGCTCCCCCAGCAACACACACACAGCAACCCCACGTTTCATTCCTGCACCTTCACATCACCTGGGAAAATCCTTCCCCCACTACTTAATCCTGACCTCCAACCTTCTCCTAGGCCCCCGTGGAGCAGCCAGGAGGAGCTGGAAGTACAGTTCCTTCTCCAGGTAGGTGCATTTCTAGGATGAAACAAAAGCTTTTTGACCCAAAAGGGTGCAGATCCCATTTTTGGCAGCCGGAGCCTGGGCTCGCTGCGGCCTCTAGAGGCCAAAATCTCCCACACCCGCAGACAGACTGACGTTCACATATAGCGAGATAGAGACCGTTAACAGCTCGTTTAATTAGAGAATTAGCACAGCCCTGCCTTGGGCTGCATCACCTTGTCCCCTCCTCTTCTATCTGCTCAGCTCTTCACCCTCCCTGGCCCCAGAGACAGAGAAACAGAGACAGAGGGAGAGAGAGAAAGCAGAGCTCTGTCCTGGGACGGAGCCCTAAATGAACATAACCAGGTCTTTACATGTTGCTCTCGAGAAGGCTGCCAGGATGCTGGCAAACACCACGTCAGGAGACTGGGAGGCATCCACGGCCGTATGGATCCCCCTCCTGCTGTAGTAGGAGATCAGGGGAGAGGTCTGGGTGTGATAGGACTTCAGGCGGGTTTTCAGGGCGGTCTCGTTATCGTCGGAGCGGCGGATCAGGGGCTCTCCAGTGACCTGGGAGAAGCAAGGGGACAGTCTCCAGCTTGCTGCAGCCTGGCACGCTCCCCCCTTCTCTCCACAGCTCCCACAACCCCTGCTCCCCTCCTCCAGGCCACGCTAAATGCAGAGCTGCAGAGGCGACCCCCAGGTCTGCGGGGGAGACAGAGCGAACCCAGGGCAGCCAAAACAAATCCCAGAGCAGTGAGTGAAGAGAGGAGGGTTCAGCACTGTGGTCGTTCCCCCACACACCACTCCAGGAGCCCCGAGAGCAGGCACCAGCTACAGTTGCTCCCCAGGATGGAAACCAGTCACAACCCACCGCAACTTCAGCTGTGGACAGAGTCCAACAAGTTCTGAGCCTGGCAGAGCCCGGGCCAGCTCTGCAGCACATCCATCCCTTCATCCATCCCTCCAGGCCTCGCTCCCCGCAGTGCCGTCGGCTCAGGCTGCCCAAGCAGTTCCCCACGCTCCCCAGAAAGCCAGGACAGAAGGTACAAGAGAAGGAAAGAAATGAGTTCTTTTTTTCCAGGGAGACTGCAAAGCATCAGCTAAACCCAAAGCAAGGCAAGCTGTGGCCCTGGGAGCTCACATACATCGTCCTTCATGGGCTCTTTTGGGGGTCTGAACTCCTCGTGATACGAGCGGCCACTCGCTGGGTGAATCAGCCTGAGACAGAAAATAAGTGTCAGCAAAGCAGGACAAGGTCTCCTGAGCCTGCCACTCATCAGCACAAGAACATCTGTAACAGCAACATGATTTGCCTTTCACCAGTAAGAAAGTTCTCTGTAGTTATTTCTGTACCAAGGGCCTCTTCAGTTTGGAAAAGCAGCTGCAGCAGGAGATGGAGAAGGAATTTTTACCTCCTGCTTTACTGGGGAAGGGGTCTGGCTTCTGGAGCTGTGAGGGTGACACAGTGACCTTAGACTGTGCCCAAATGTGTGCATTGTTCTTCCTAAGGGAGGAATAATGACTTTGGAGAAGGAAGACTTTAAAGGCTGAGCTGGGGCACCAAGGATGCTGATTCCTGTCAGTAATCCCTAATTTATAGGGCAAGGGAGGGGCTCTGCTCAAGGCTGGTCCAGCCATGGGAGAACAGGCGAGGGATCACGGCAGAAATCTAACAGAGACCAGCACCACAGCCAGCCCTAAGCACTGGGAGGACAACCTGGGATCTGAAATCAGGATGCCATTCCATAGACTAGGAAACCTCAACCTGTGCACTGAGCATCTGGGAGAGAAGCGTTACCGTCCAGTGATCCTCCGGATCAGCAAGGAGTCAGGGATGCTGAACTCAATGACCGAGTCGAGCTTCTCCTTTCTCTTCTCCAGGAGCTCATCCAGCTGCAAGAGCAAACACCCACCTCAGAGGGGCAGAGGGCCCAGGGACCCCTGTCTGCAGGGAAGGAGGTGCCAGAGCAGTCCCTGAGCAGGGCCCCACGTACCATCTCCGCCTGCTTCACCGTGCGGGGGAAGCCATCCAGCAGGAACCCGTTCTTGCAGGGAGGGGAGTCCAGGTTGTTCTCAATCAGCTCCACCACCATCTCATCGCTCACCTGCAGAGAGGGGGGGAGCCCGTGGTCAGGAGGGACACCCTGAACTTACATACAGTTGCCTTCAGAGCTGCTGCACTCATGGTGGGACTTTTGGGGTTGTCCTGTGCAGCGCCAGGGGTTGAACTCTATAATCCTTGTGGTTCCTTCCAGCTCAGGATATCCTGTGACTCTACAATCCATGTCAGTGCCCAGGCTGCTTCAGGCCCCTCCTACAGCCAGAGGCAGCAGCCATGGCACAGGGCACTGCTGCTAACAGGGTGAAAGCTGCGTGCTCATTCCTGCCCACGTCAAGGAAGCGCTCCCTGCCATGACTGCTGTGGGAAGCACTCCCTGCCATGGCTGCAACACCAGGATGTGGCCAAGGAGACCTTTCACTCCAGGGATACTCCACAGCGTGCCAGGGACTTGGACCAGTGCTGTAACCTCACCGTTACAAAGGTTGCTGTATTTCAAGGAAGACTGTCGGCTCGAAGACAAACTCCTGAGATTATTTTTTTTTTTAAAAGCAACTCACAACAGAAAATTTCGACATAACCTTGATTTCCTGTTACTTTGTACCTTCACCCACACATCCCCCTCAGGAGACAGGAAGGGCAGAGCAGGCAAGTTGCTCATTGACTCCCATAAACCTTGTGTGAAGGTAAAAGCCCAGTAGTTGCTGACAAGCTCTGGCTTTGCTGGATAGTTTTTTCCCATCCAACAATCTCGGCATACCGCTGGGATTAGTGCCTTTTCCACGCTGCAGCACTAACAGATGCTGCAGCCCCAACAATAGCTGTTTATTTGGGAGCAGCTCTCCTCAGCAGCGCTGTTTTCTCCAACACACACAGCTGGGACCCAGCAGGATTTGGGAACCAGGCTGTCACAACACACAAACAACAGCCCCCACAGGCTGGGGGGGAAGTCTGGGTGAAGCAACAAGTCACTTCTGTGCCTTCCTGATTACGCCCTTCAGAGAAACAGCCCCTGAGCATAAACCCATCCCAAACTGCTGTGCTCCCAGCTGAGTTATCACAGAGCCAGAGCTGCAGGGTGTCCCCGTGGAGCAGCCTGGAGCTGGCTGCCACACACACACGTGGCAGATACCACCAGCCTCACCAGATAACGTCCCTATCTTTCATAACCAGCCGGGTATCGCAGGCTCGGTGTTGCAATGAGCTCTGGGCAGAAGCTGAGATAAGCCACGTCACTCTCCCCATTTGGGGCCTGCAGAGGCTCCCTGGGGTGTTACAAGCCCGTGACAGCTGCAGAGATGCCCGAGATCTGCCCCACACGGGGGGCAAGTCGCTGCAATTTGTGGTTCCTTGAGTTTCCTGGAGATAGTTCAGTCCTTCTGATGAGATAATTAGACCCTTGTAAAGTGAATGTCAGAGATTCCAACTCTTGTCTCTGGGGGACCTAAAGTGCCTCTCTCACGCAGCACCTGCTGTAGCTGTCACAGCAACAACTTTAAGTCTATTTTCACCACTTGTGCAAGAGCTGGGATGCAGATGAACCCTCTGAAGTGATACCTGGAGTCCAGGTATCACGGGAAGAGAGGCTGGAGCAGCAAAGCACGGCTGCAACATCCTGCAGCTCCAAGGATACACCTTCAGCTCAAAGAGTGCTCAGAAACCAGCCAGAACTCACCCTGTGAGCATAAATGCAAGAACCACCCCAAGGACACAGGCTGTCAGTAAGCAAAGAGCAACTCCGAAGAGGAAAGGTGTTTTTATAGGATGTTTCTCCTGCAGAATAACAGAAGGAAAACCTCCACTCCTGCCTTCATCCTGCAATCTGCCTTCCCACACTAATTAGTTTTGTCACTGAGAATTCTAAACAGGAGGCGGGTTTTGCCTGCTCTCATTCCAGGTGCTGCCAGCCCATGTCCCCTCCCAGCACATCCCTCACGACCCACCAGCTTCCCAGCATCCATGGTCTCCTTGATCCGCTTGCCCAGCTCGGACCCCGAGGCCACCATGGCCCGCAGCATGTCCCCGGTAGCCAGGTGGCACACGCAGTAGGTCTCGGCGAGCTTGGGAGCCTGCGGGAGAGAACAGACAGCGGTGAGCGCTCCGGGGATGGGACCTCGGGGTGGGGGGCCGGGGGGACGCTCAGCCAGGGCTGGAGTGGACAGGCTGGGGCCTTGTCCCCTGTGGCAGCACCGGGACGCTCAGCGAACCGCCAGCACGTGGCAGGGCCCGGCGCCGAGTCCCCGGAGCGCTCCGGGAGCGGGGCCAGGGCACCGGGTCCCCGCGGGCCGGCCCTGCTCCGGGACAAAGGGATCCGGGACAAAGGGCCCCCGGAGGCGCGATACCGCCGAGCACCCCGAGGGAAGGGAAGCCCTGCGGAGCGGGACACCCCGCACGCCCCATCCCCTCGGCGAGGCCCACGCGGCGGTCACACGGGGAAAGGCCGGGCGGGCCGGTCCCGCCGGGCCGCTCCCTTCACGGGGAGCTCCCCCCGCCCCTCCCGCGCATCCCCGCTCACCTGCGTGCCCTTGCCGGCGCCGGGCGGGCCCAGCAGCACGGCGCGGATGCCGTGGCGGAGCCCCGGTGCCGGTGCCGGGCCCTGCCCGCGGCCGCCCCCGGCCTGAGCGCTCGGAGCCATGGCCGCCGCCGACTGCGCGCCCGCCCCGCGCCGGGGGGCGTGACCCCGCGTGCCCGGGGCGTGACTATGCATATGAGGGGCGTGGCCGCACGGACAACGGCCGCGGGTTTAAAAGCGAGTGGGGGCGTGGTTATGCGTGCGGTGGGCGGGGTTAACCCCGGTGACGGGCGGGGTTAAGTGGCGGTGGGCGGGGTTAATCGGCGGCGGGCGGGGCCATGGCTCCGCTTGGCTCGGGGCCCTCCGCCGGCACCGGGCGCTGTGTCCAGTTCTGGGCTTCTCAGCCCAAGAAGGACATTTTGGGGCTGGAGCGAGCCCAGAGGAAAGCAAAGAGCTCGGGAAGGCTCTGGAGTGCATGTCCTGTGAGGAGCGCTTGTGAGGGGCTCAGCCTGGAGAAAAGGGGGCTCAAGCGGGAGCTTCTCGCTCTCTCCGGACTCCCTGACAGGAGGGTGTTGCCAGGTGCGGGTCGGGCTCTGCCACCAGGCAGCTAGTGGCAGGAAAAGAGGACGTAGTCTTAAGCTGCACCAGGGCAGGTTTATGTTGGACAGTAGGAAGAAGTTCTTTACATGGAGAGTGATCGGACGTTGGAATGGGCTGCCCAGGGAGGTGATGGGTTCACTGTCCCTGGAGGTGTTTAAAAAGAGACCAGATGCGGCACTCAGTGCCATGGTCTAGCAGGCAAGGTGGTGTTAGGTCAAAAGTTGGACTTGATGATCTCAGAGGTCTTTTCCAACCTAGTTCCTTCTGTAACTCTGTGGTTCTGAGCTCTGCTTGCCCTGGCGCTGCGTGGGCTCAGCGTGGGCTGGGCTCAGCGCCCTGCTCTGCATGGGCTGTGCATCACGACACTGCCTGGTACATCCAGGAGAGACTGGCACTGCAGTGCTCTGCATCCCTCTGCTCTCCCCTCAGTGCAATGCTCTCTGCATGGCTTCCCACACCCCATGCAGAGCAGTCCAGGACTGGTGCCAGGCCAGAGCACTGGGAAAACACTCCAGGATCTCACAGGAGACAAGAGCTTCCTTGGCCCTGGTTGCCAGGAGAGTCTGTGGCAAAGCCAAGACCACGGTGTTGAATACAGAAACCCAGGATAAGTCTGTCCCTCTCACCTCCTCATTGGGGGCAGCTACCCCTCCACACACAGAACACTGGCTCCTCAGCAGCACCAAGGAGGGACCTGCAAATTAACAAGAAGAAATAAAAATAGTCCCTGCTCGGCCCTTGCTGTTTGTGGGATGGAGCAGTGCAACCATTTCCAAATGCAGCAGAGACAGCACTGATGGACCAGACGAAGCACCTCCATTTATGGCAGAGCTGGACCTGCTGCCAGGGAACCCACCGAAGCTGGCAGCACCTCAGCAAGGGCAGGATCAGGCCCTGACATCTTCCCAACTACCTCCTGCCCGCCCTGCCGGAGTCCCAGCCAGACAGGCACTGCAGGGAGCCTGGTTTCCCTGGCAGCAGCATTTCAGAGGTATTTTGAGCTCTCTTCCCCACGAGGGTCCCCGTGCATAGGATGCACAGCCTCGTGAGGTGGCCCCGCAGCAGGGCTGGGCTGGGGATGAGCTGGACTGGGTGAGAACCCCGAGGTGACTCCTGGGGGCAGCCCCAGCCCTGGGAGGGGGCGGGCGACGTGGGAGAGCGTTCTCCAAGAGGGATGCAGGATGCTCAGAGGCAGCTCAGCCAATAGGGTCGCTGGATTTGGTTGTCATGGTTACAGTTGGGAGGCAGAGCAGGGAGGGAGCCCTGAGAGAGAAGGGGTGCAGAGCTCCCCCGTCCTCTGCAAGGGCTCAGGGCGGGCAGGGAGCTGGGGCAGGACAAACAGCCGCTGCTGGGGGCCGGTTCATTCTCTCGGGAGACCCATGGCAGAATCTGTTTAAATGCTTTCTGAGGTAAGGGGGCTTAGGGGCCTTTGAGGGGAAATGTCTTGCCTGGCACAGTGAGGAGGGGGCTGGTGAGGGATGCCTGTGGCTGCTGAGTTTTGGGGATGGTGGGTGGAGGATGCTGTCAGTGCCCCTCTCCCTCGCTAACCCCGTCACTGCTTCTCCCCAGGGCCCCCGGACCCCCAGCGACAGCCACACCTCAGGGTGCTGTGGGAGCTCTGCATTCCTCGGGGAGCCCCCCTGGCAGCACGTCTGAGCACCTGGGAGGGAGAACCGGGCCGTGGTAAGGAGGGGGTGTCCCAGGCTGGGGCACATGTTCCGACAGGAATGACCCACCTCACTGCTTCCGTGCCCCATCCTGGTGGGCTGGGTGCTGCTTAGTGATGGGATGTGAAGGGTAAAGCTGTAGCAGTCGCTCTCCTTTCCTGAATATGAGGCTCTAAGAGCTTTAAAAACATGTTTTTTCACCTCATTCCCCAGCTCTGGAATTTGCTGGTGGGGCTTGCTCAATGCATTACAACATCCTGCTGCTCTGGGGTCAGCGTGGTCTTTCTCCCAGTGCCTGCCCCAAAATGTTGTCAGTAGGTGTCTGTGGGGAGGAGGTGCAGTGCTGCTCTGAGAAATGAAACCTCTGCCTCCTGCTCCCTTCAGATCAGAGAGACCATGTTCCTGTAAGATCCCTGGAGCTAGACCTGGATTATCAGTGGAAACGTTCCCTGCTATGCTGTCAGCTCTCTGGGTTATGAGACAGGCTGGGTCCAGGGCAGGAAATTGTTAAAGTGTGCAAGCTTAAAGGTAAAGCTCTGCTAGGATGAGCCAGGAAACTCTGTGCAGCTTAACTGTCCCCTGGTTCCACACCCTGTGTCATGAAAGAGCTGTGGATCCACAGCAGGGATCCAGACTGTCCTCAGGTCGGGCGGTGTCAGCGAGGGGTCTGTGCTCTGCCTCCCTTTTCCCAGGGCTTGTGTGCCTGGGAAAATGGATCCATGAGAATGGAAACCATAAGGGATCCTCACCACAGCAGATCCAGCTACATTCCAGAGCGTGAAGGGACATGTCCTGGCACATAAAGGCCTCCATCCTCTTCGCAGTGCAGTTGGCTTTGTTGTTGAACTGCTGCTGATGGAGACAAGGCTGCTGTGTGCCAAAACACAGCTCTGAGCTGCAGAGAAATGTGTCTCCTCCCCCAAAAGAAGATGCTTTAACCCACAGGAGGGCTCTGCTGAGGCGCTGGTTTGGAGCAGAGCAGCACAGAGCTCTGCCCGGGGCAGTGCTGCCATGGGAGAGATGGATGGGGAGCACCCCGGGGTGCTGATGAAGCTTCTGGACCCTGCCCTTAATATTCCTTCTTTTTCCAGTGTGTTGCTTTTTTAGAATCTATACCCTACTCAAGGAGGCTTTAAATGAGCATCATCACACCCTGAACATCCCACCATGAACGGGTACCTGAACGAATCCAATTTCCTGATGGTGGAGGAGGGCTTCACCACCAGAGACCTGCTGGAGAACCTCCTCGGGGAGCTGTGCCAGGGGGTAAGGGCTGGTTCTCTGCTTCCCCCCTTACAAGAGGCACTCATGGAAGCTTCTGCTTACTCCAGCTTTCCCCTAGAGCGACCAGCAAGCCTTCTTCGTGGCAGACCTCGGGGACGTTGTGAAGAAGCACCTGCATTTCCTGAAGGCCCTGCCCCGGGTGAAACCCTATTTCCCAGTTAAATGCAACAGCAGTGAAGGAGTGATTCGGCTGCTGGCAGAGCTGGGGGCAGGCTTTGCCTGTGCCAACAAGGTAAGGACGTGGGAGGACAGCTCCAAGTGAGCATCCTACAAGCATTTGTGGGAGAGTGGCAGAGCTCACCCTCCACTCAGTAGGTGACATTTACAGGGGCAGGAGTCTCCCTCTGCTGTCAAGAGTCTATTGGCACAGCCCATAAATCCCTGTCCTCTGTCTGGTGACCCAGGCTTTCCCTTTGACCAACATTCCTGCCTCTGGAGCTGGTGTTTTGGCTGGCAGGCTTGGCTGGTGGCACAGCACACCCCTGGGGTGCCACTGCCAGAGCCATCCAACTCTTGCTTTCTTTAAGGATGAGGCTAAAGCTCCCTGCTCCCTCCTCGTCATCATTTGCAATAGCCAGATTTCCAGGGAGGAGCCAAATTAAGCCACTAACTTGTACAGAATTAAATAAGATGGGTTTCCAGGAGGAGAAAGTGCAGGTGTTGTCACAGCTCAGACCAGGGGTCACATGCCAACCCTATGCCTGCTAAACCCACCTGTTTCCTCTCCTGGTCTCATGCTGTTTTAAACACCTTCCCACAGTCTGTCCTTGCCAGGACAAAGTCCACTGTGATGCCTTTGAGCTCTTGTAGCTTCTCCTTGGAAAAGCCCAGGCCGCAACGCTGACGCTTTGCCCTCCCCAGTGCTGCAAACTGGACAAGACCCAGGGCTGGTGATGGCCATGGGGACCTTCCTGAGTGTGTTCCCTGTCCCTGCAGGCTGAGATCACACGGGTTCAAGGCATTGGAGTCCCAGCTGACAGGATCTTCTACAGCAGCCCCTGCAAGCAGGTTGCCCACATCAGGTACGCGGCCAAACACGGGGTGCAGCTGATGACCTTCGACAACGAGGTGGAGCTGAGCAAGGTGGCCAGGAGCCACCCCCATGCCAGGTGGGTGTCTGGCAGCACCATTGGAGGGGCAGCTGGAGGAGGAGCTGGGCAGGGGACTGTGGGGTGCTAGAGGGGCTGAAGAGGAGGTTGTAGAAGGTTGGTGTCGGTCTCTTCTCCCAGGCGACAAGCGATAGGACAAGAGGGAACAGGCTCAAGTTGTGCCAGGGGAGGTTTAGATTGGATATTTGGAAAAATTTGATCACTGAAAGGGTGCTCAGGCATCGCAACAGGCTGCCCAGGGAAGTGGTGGAATCACTATCCCTGGAAGTGTTCAAAAAACACGTAGATGTGGCACTTGGAGAAATGGGTTAGCAGTGGGCTTGGCAGTGCTGGGTGAATGGTTGGACTCGGTGATCTTAGAGAGCTTTTTTGGCCTTAATGATTCCATGACCCTGTGATTCCAAGCCCCCTCAACACAGTGTGGCTTTGCTGTGCAGGATGTTGTTGGGGATCACTGCTGACTCCAGCCCTTCTGCCCACCCGAGCATGACATTTGGGACCACGCTCAAATCCTGCCGGCACCTGCTGGAGGCAGCGAAGGAGCAG